TTAGGGTCATTGTTATTAGGCAAACAGTTTTCAGTCTAGTGCTGTAATTATTAAGCACTAAGTTACCAGTTAAAAGGATAGAGGTTTGAACCCACCCAGAAAAATTACAAGTGCGCTCCTATAAATACAGCTTGAAACCTATATAGGGCAGCTCTCCTTGGTTATGTGCCATAATTGACACCTAACAACAGTAGCAGTTAGATTTTTTTGTGGCTGGATTAGGTCCACTATTTCCTGGTAAGATTACTCCAGATCCAGTTTTAATACTAAAATTGGTAAATTCGGGTATGTGGTGTTAGCCTAAAACTTGGCTTTTTTTTTAAGCCATTACAGTTAGCACCCTCTGATCTCTAGCTATCTTAACTGCAGACACATGGTCTTGCAAATCATCAACATGTGTGGGACTTGGATAAGAGAAAAAGTGCATTTACACATGTGGGGCAGCAAGACTTGTGGTGGCAAGAAATTGACTGAGACTGGAGCAGATCCTTTTGGCAAGACCCTGGTAATGGTATTGGAGAGACTGTGGCATCACTGTGGGAAAACTGTGGCAAGGTGTAAGCAGAGGAGCCCCAATAGAAATGCCACAGTTGAAGATGTTTGCTGTTTTTGCTGGAAGCTTGAAGGAGAAGCTGACTTGTAACTTGCTGGATGCCTGTTTGCTTGGAGGCAAAACTTGGATGTGACTGCTGAACTGAAGATCCTGGACTAACTGAGGAATTGTGCCTTGAACTTGGGCTAAAATCTGGACTTGTTTTGGTTAATATTCTTTACCTTCACCACTCTCCGACTTCCTTCTCTAATAAATCTCATTGTGGTTTTCCCATCTACCCATCCTCACCCCTCTGCTCCCACTCCTTCCCCTCTTGGATTCCCATACATGTTTTACTAGTTAATCTTCAATTATTACAATAATAGTCTTATGCAGTATTTGTCCTTATGAGACTGAGTTAATTCACTTAGCATAACACTCTCCAGTCTCTCCCAGATTATACAGTATTTTTCAAGGTTGTTGCTCCTGAGTGCTGCACAGGATTCCATCATGTGAATGTAACAAACTTTCTCAATCCATTCAGCTGTGGTTGAACATTTGGGCTGTTTCCATGTTCTTGAGATTAAACCTCATTGTTGGTAGCATAACTGTGAGTCTGTCAATCAGCAATGAATAAACAAACAGAAACGTCTGCTGTTCGCAGGGATCTAGAGGCACCGTGAGGCTGGACTAGGAGCTCTTTATCTGCTTTCTACTCTGGGGCACTGTGAGGCTGTGCTATTCTTACAACCTCTGGCCCTTTCAGAGAGATGCTCATGACCCTATGCCACCATGTGCAGTTTTCTCCTCCTAACTACAAGATGTAACAAGCCTTAACTAATCATTGTATTATTCCATTCAATTTCTATCTGATAGTTGTATCATTTATAGATAACTGCTGCCTAAATTCATTATTTCACTAGTTGTTTATGTACCACTGAGTCGCCCGTGACTCATAGGGATCCTGTGTATAATAGCTCTGAACCCTGCACTATCCTGAGTCAATTTAACTGTCTCTGACACTTACCCTCATTAGCCCAGTTACTGGGACAATCTAGCTCATCCTCTAAGAGCCTTCATCTCTTGCACTGTCCCTCCACCCTTCCAATTATGATATTCTCCAGGACTACTGTTGGTAACATGACCAAAGTATGTGACACTGCGCGTCAAAACCTATGACTCCAAGGAGCAGCTTGGTTTCACCCTCTTTAGGACAGACTTGTTGGTTCTTTTAGCAGCCCATGCTATGTTCAATACTTTTCTCCAGTACCACAACTGAAAGACCAATTCTTTTAGCATCCCTATTCACTGTCTAGCTCTCTGATACACAGGAAGTAATTGCGAAGGCCATGGCTTGGATCAGACACACCTTAATCTCTAGACTGACACTCTTGCTCTTCAGCATTCTGGAGAATTGCCTGACAGCAGATTTTCCCAATGCAATTCATCTTTTGATCTCCTCACTGATAGGTACAGGAGGAGAATGCCCCTCCTTCTCCAGCAGAGCATCTGGTAGATTTGAACTGTGTGCCTCTGGGACTGCAGTACAACCTCTTGCCACTAGGCCACCAGAGCTCCCTGAGAATCTTTATATTCTTGATGGTGAAAACTTCAGTCTATATTGAAGACTGGAGTCCTTGATCTTCTGCAGTAAATGCCTCAGGTCCTCTTCAGTTTCAGCAAGCAATATTGATTCATCTGCATAATGCAGGCTGTTGAGTCATCTTCTACTCTTGATGCCACATTGCTCCTCATAGAGTCCAGCCTCCTGGATGAATTGTATCACATACAGACTGAAAAACAAGGAGACAGGACACATCCCTGAACGTACTTCCTTCTTGATTTTGAATCATACATTGTTTCCTTCCTCTGTTCTGATTACTGCCTCCTGGCCCAAGTATAGGTTTCACAGAAGCACATCAAGTGTTCTGAGGTTCCCATTTTCTTCTCAAGGTTAGCTGCCATTTGTTTCAATCCATTCCAGCTGGTATTCTTTTTGATACTAAAATTTTCCATCTTCTCCCCAGTGAGAAGTTATTCAAGATGGCCCTGACAATTTTGTCATGCCCCTAGAAGCTTCCCTGCTCTCTGGCACAAGATGTCTCAAGCTCATCTTACATACAAAGTTGTTGTCTCAAACTTGGCAGGAGCGAAATTCTCCAAGAAATTATAATGTCTTCTGACAGAAATTTAGATTTGGAGACTACTGTTGTTGTTGCTATGTGCCACTGAGTCACCTGCAACTCATAGCAACCCTATGTACAACAGCTCTGAAGTAGGCTACCTTCAGCCAGTCTCACTTATGGTGACACACTCTGGGTATTAACTGTCCATTGTTCCTAGATCCTCACTAGGTAGGCATTTTCTGTGGACACAGTTAAGAAATTGGGTTTTGGTTGTTTCTTTTTTAGTTTTGAGCTTTTTAAAAATAAAGTTATTTCCCATTTCAATTTTTGATTACTGGGTTTAAGTGTAATGGATTTATTTTTAAATGGTATATTTTTATGTTCTGCATATTAAATATAAATATTATTAAGCATCATTATACACTTTATCTTACAGTGTGGCTATAATAATCTCAAAGCAGTTCTCATATTATTATTAAAAATAGCCACTCCTGCCCTGGACTTGTCTGCACCACAGGTGTGGCTGCTCTGCTATACCTGAGGCATCAGGGCAAAGAGGAAGTGGCTATTTCTACACTCATTGTTCGACCAGTGAGCACTCAGAATGGTTTCTAGCCTGACAATCCTGGTAGAAAAAAGAAACAACAACAACAACAAAATAGCCACAAAAATACTGAATGTTGTTAAGATACTAAGCATATGAGTATCCAAAATATTGTTGTTGTAAAGTCACTTGAAATAATAATCGTGGATGTCTTGCCTTGTCTTGTCTGGAGATCTGCCTTCTTCCACTCTGTAGTGATATCCATTACGTAATGTCTACCCAGTCCCTTCCCTAGAGATGGACTCATTTTTGTTCCCAAACATTTCTATTAGAACAGGAATTCTTTCTTCTCTGACCCCGGTCCCTTGCTCACATCTGGAAGGAGAACACCTCTCTTTCTCGGGGAGAACCAGCTATCAATTTGTTGCTAATGGCTTACCCGAACATCCGCAGCCCCTGCGCTGGTGAGGTTTTGGCACTGTAGGTTGTAGCCTCCTTCCCAAGTGGAGAGAATGAGCTGCCCAAGAAGCAAGAAAGGAAGAAAAATCAACACAGGACTTTGGACATAAATGGAATCTCCCATGCATGTTTCTTACTGACATCTCTTTTCAAGGTTTGACTACAACCTTCCCAGAATGTTATTTGATCCCAATAGAGGATCTAATGCTTGCTGCTGAGCTGAAATTAACAGTTATTCTCTTTAAGAAATATATTTTAATTTATGGTAATGGGGGACTGCATTCACGCTTTTCCCTACAAATAAAAAAAATCTTTCTAACCATTTACATGAGCCAAAAGGAATGGAATTTAGTGACTAGTTAAGTAAGAAAATATTGTATGGAAGAACTTAACTAGTCTTTCAATTGCTCATAATATTGGTCAAGTTGAAGCTTTAGAAAATGAGTACAAGCACACAAGAGCCAAAATGCAACTCTGAGAATAACTCACTTGATTTCAAAGTCATCTCAACAAAAGATTTGATATACTGAATAGTAATGACTGAAACCAGATGAGTGTGTTATGACATAAAGGGAATTACACATGAAAGAAAGGTTAAAAGAGATATCAAAGGTTAGGCAAGAAAGAAAGCACTAAAATAGTGTCAGAAGAGATGTTGAAACTTGTTCTAGTGCATAGAAAAGCTAAAGTAAATAAAAAAATGATGAAGAGAACAGAACATATGATTTCAAAGAATGGTTAATAAGACAAAGCAAATTTTAGAATGAAATGTGAAAAGATCTGGGGTCAGAAACAAAACAAAAAATATAGTAAGAAATCCATAGTGTTTTGAACCAAAAGAAATGGGGAAAAAAATAAAATTCCAGCTCCACGTTGTAATAGTGAAGGTTTCAAAGGTGAAACTACTAAATGATGCAAGAATTATCAAAAGAAGATGAATACACATGGTTTACTTTACCAAAAAGAACTAAGTAATGCTCAACCATTTCAAAAGGTAGCGTATGATCAGGAACCAATGGTACTGAAGAAGTCCAAGCCGCCTTTGAAATTATCGGTGAAAAACAAGACTCCAGGGACTGATGGAATACCAACTGAAATGATATGCTCACTTGTCTATTCCAAAGCATTTGGAAGCTAGCTACTTGGACAACTGACTAGAAGAGATCCCTATTTGTGCTTATGTCAAAGAAAGGTTAACCATCAGAACACAGGAAATTACCGAACAATATCATATTGTATGCAAGGAAACTCTTGCTGAAGATAATTTATAAAGGGCTAGAAGGGTGCATCAAAAAGTTAAGTGTGCACATTCAGTGCTGCAGAACCAACTCCAAGGCATTTGTTGTTGTGTGTTGTAGAGCTGGAATCAGTGCATAGCGGACCTTCCCCAGTGGGTTTTCAGAGGCAGTAAACTGCGTGGGAGCAGATGGCCTCTCCTTCTCCGGAGGAGCAGCTGGTGGATTCAGAGCGTTTGGGGACGCAGTGCAGCATTTTACCACTAGGCCACTAGAGATCTCTTATGGCACCTACCAGTATTTAAACAGGTATAATGTAAAGTTCTACACTGACTGTAAAAAAGAACACTTAAATTTTAGTAGCATTTTACTTGGAAATATATAATGAAGATTTCCCACTTGATCATTTGCCATTTACTAATATTTTACAGAAAAGAAAATCATAGCCCTGAAAGGTTCCTAAACTGTACTCCTTCACCGGGGTTGTTATTTGGTAGCTAAACAATGACTCATTCAGTTAATTGATTAATGTCTACCTTCTTAATTTCTCTCAAAACTCAAATCTCTAAAATGTATGTCTCTTTTTCTTTGCTCAGCTTGTTTCTACAGTTCCTTGTCCAAAGTCCGGCACATAAATCCTAAAAAAAATACTGGATGGATAAATAGTATATTCAAGATAGAAAATGGCAGAACAATGACTAGAATTTAGACTTTCTGGTGGCTTAGTGGTAAGGAGTTAGAATCTACCAGCTGCTCCTTGAAAGAAAGATGGGCAGCTTCCCCCTGCGCCCAACTGGAGGGTCAGTTATGGATCAGTTCCAATTTGATGATACATAACAGTTGCTTGTCTAGTATTCTACACATAACATCATGAGAATATGAGCTTTTCTATTTTTAAAAATAACTCCACGAAAGAGTTACTTTATAAAATGGAACCCCCCTGATTTCCCACTGTTATTTGAGACATTTAGAATTCGAGAGATTAAGGTCTTTGGCTGTGATTTATATTTGGCACTACATGTGAAAAGGCTACAGTTTTCTGCTGTCCATCAGCTGTATGAAAGTAAAGATCTGTTAAAGGCCACACACAGAACAGGGAGAGAGGAGTACTAATTTAATACTATAAAGAAAGAGGCTAACAAGTGGGTCTAGTAGTCTCTCTCACCCTCTCTCCTGTTCTCTTTTTCTTTCTAATAAAGACACAGTCCATATCATAATTGATAATTATCAGAATTATCAAAAAGCCTGGATCTTCTTAATGGGCTCTATATTACTGTTGTTGCTGTGTGCCATTCAGCCAGAAAACTCCAGTGGGTTTTCAGAGGCAGCTAATCACATGGAAGGAGATGCCCATCCTTCTCCCACAGAGCAGCTGGTGGATTTGAACTGTGAGCCTTTGGTATTGCAGAGCAGCCTCTTACCACTAGGCCACAAGTGCTTCCTATTACTAATATAGCCTCCTTCATTTCCTGGAAGATTCTTGGGCTCTGAGGCTCTTGGTTTTCATTCTGAATCACTGAGAAGCTGGAAGGAGTCTAGCTAGAGCTATTTTAAACTAGAAGTAAATTTCTATGTGTTGGTGCATTTTTCAAAATGGAAAACCTGTTAACTTTGTGCAAAACAAAGTCATTAAAAACCTTTCTGGCTAGACTGTAGATTTGCAATAAGGGATTTTAGAGCCTACTTTGAATACTATAAATACTGAGATAGAGTAACGCTTCAGTGTGGAGAGGACACGCATGCTTTCTGTCTCCTATTTCCCACTTTGGTCAGATTTATCCCAGCAACTCTCTCTCTGCAGAACTACTTGAGTATTTAATTAAAAATAGAAGACTGAAGCTAGCAATGCTACAGATTATACTACCTGTCCCACCTTGGACCGTGTCTAATCTCACATCTGTTAAGAATCATCTACTATATGTGCTGAAAAAAAAAAAAGTAGCCTTAAGGACATGTGGCCCAAGTCACTGAAATACCTATCTAGAGTCCCCACCATCTTAATCCAAGACACTAGCAGCTGTGCCTGGAGTTCTGGAATTCTCTCCAAACTGGATTCCTTGCTTCTTCTGTTCCTGTCCCTCGCTCATCCCTGATAGTGTGTGAAGGAGCCCAAGTGATATATTTAAACAGGAAGGCTTAAATTTACAGAGTCACAGGGCTGAAACTCAAGTTCTGTATCCTCTGCACCAAAGCCTCTGCAGTTACACTTCAGACTGGTCCTCCTGGTGTGGCTGCTCCTTCTGAAAACAATCCAAGGAAAAGTATCTATCCTTTTGCTGGATGGAGAAATGAAGCCTGAAATTACTACGTATCTAGGAAGCTGATTCAGGGAGAAATGAACTGAAATTCTACTTCTAGAGAACTAAAAAAAAAAAAAATGAAAAAAAAAATAAAAATAATTCCTACAGCATGGCCTAGGTATAGGTTCTCCAAGGAGCACAACTCTTAGTCTTAGAACACTTAATTGTTCTCTTGGGAAACCTATACTTACACCAGAAGCTGTTGTCCAAATAACAAGCAAACACTGCATGTATTAAAAGCAAGAAAAGTGTGCATCAAGGCTGTATCTTTTCTCCATACTTATTCAATCTGTTGTTGTTGATTGCCTATGAACAAAATGCTTGATGCCTTTCTATAAATATTGACATTTATCAAAGTCCATAGAGTTTCTGGAGGCATGTTGCTTAGGAAGTGGATGTCATTCCTGTTTCCAAACCTGGCTTAAACTGGGAGCTCCACCAAACACTGTCCCACCATGGGCAACCACTATGGCATTTGACACCCCAATGGCACAAGGATCAGCATCACAGCAATCCCAGGTTACCTCAGTACAGCCCACTGACAGAAGAGTGTTGCACCACTAAGAAGAATGTTCCTCCAAAAATGTAACAACAAATGTTAAATACAAAAGCCCTCCTGAGGTCTTGGTGACTCTAAACAGGAGGCTTAAATAAAAACCAAAACAAAACCAATCAGTATATTATGTTATTGTTGTTATGTGCTGTTGAGCTGCCCGTGATGTACAGTGACCCTATGTACAGCAACTCTGTACCCTCCCCTGTTCTGAGCCAGAATATGGCATCACAATTGGAGGATGACTCATCAACAACCTGCATTATGCCTATGATACAGCCTTGCTTGTTGACATTGAGGAAGCCCTGAAGCATGTGCTGCAGAAGGTGAAGGACTGCAGTCTCCAATATGGATTGAAGCTCAGCAATAAGAAAACGAAGATTCTCACTACTGGGCCAAATGGCAGCATCATGATAGAGGATGAAGAGATTGAAATTGTCAACAATTTCTGCTTGCTTCTTTCCACAACAATATTTTTAGCACTAACAGAAAATAAAAAGACTAACTGCATTGGGAAAACATCCTGTCAGGAACCTCTCCAGAGTGCTGAAGAGCAATGATGTCACTCTGGAGAATAAGGTGTGCCTGATCCAGGCCATGGTCTTTGCAATTACTTGCTATACACCAGAGAGATGGAATATGAATAAGGATGACAGGAGAGGAATTGATGCCTTTAAGCTGTGGTGTGGAGAAGAGTTTTGAACATACCATGGACCGCCAAGAGAACAAACACATCTGTCCCAGAGAGGGTGAAACTAAGTTTCTTTTTGGAGGCAAGGATTCTGAAGCCCCATTTCACATACTTTGGGTATGTTGCCCAGAGGGTCTGGTCCTTGAAGAGGGACATCATGTGTGGAAGGGTGGAGGGATGGCGCAGAAGAGGAAGAACCTGGATGAGCTGGATTGACACAGTGATTAGGGTAATGCTGGCAGGAATGTCAGAGGCAGTGAGACTGAGTCAGGATAGGGCAGGGTTCAGAGCCATTGTGCACAGGGTTGCTATGCGTCGCAGACAACTCAATGGCACATAACAAAAACATGCATCTAGAAGTCAGACAGTGATATAATAAGGGTGGTGAAAGAACTGACGATTTTGAGTTGTGGTGTTGAAGAAGAGTACCAAATACTACACAGACTGCTTAAAGAAGAAATAAGTCTGTCCTAGTGGAAGTGCATCCGGGATGCTTCTTAGAGACATGGATGGCGAAATTACGTTTCATATAGTTTAGGCACGCTGTTAGGAAAAGCTTTGGAAAAGGACATCATGCTGAGAAGGGCGCAGGGTCACAGACAGGAGCACCCCTATCAAGATGGATCAACAGAGTGTCTGTAACAATGTTCTTCAGTATGTCAGAGGCTGTGAGGATAAGGTTCAGATCTGTTTTCTGCAGGGTCACTATGAGTCATAATCAACTCTATGACACGTAACAACAACACAAAAATTACTTTACAACATCAGGTAAATTAGTAGGTCCCTCTGTGATAAGACCTTAAAGGAGTTAGCATGACTTTCCTGGACCCCAAATCTAGCTCATGTACTATGCCAATGCCTGAAATGTCAGGATTATAGTATTAGACCATTCATTTAAGGCAATGTTTATTAACCATTATTAGAACGGTGCACATTAGAATAACTCAAAATAACTCTATGGGTGAGATGACCTATTTTTTAAGGCAAAGATTTATTTTCCTTTAGAATGCAAGTACATTAGCATGGCAGTTTATACTACTGCCACTAAAAATATTTACACCTTGTAAAATAATTTTATAATAAAAACTAAAGAAAGGTTTATATAAGGAGAAATTCAATCTAGTATGGTTACCTGGAAGGCAAGTGGGAGTAGAAAATTAATGAGACAATAAACATTATATTGTAATGGGTGGAGGTGAGGACAACATAGAATCGATAATCAGACATTGTGTGCACTGTAATTAATGTTACAGACCAAAGCATACATTAATGATTAGGGGGAAAAGCCATCAACAAAACATTATCGTTTGTAAACTTTCACACAAACAACAACTAAAATTGTAAAAAAGCTAACAAACAAAATTTTTTATCATGACTTTTTCCCTAAAACAAAGGCTATGTTTTTGTTCCCTCTGCTTCATTCGCTTTCTCTTTTCGATGGTTCTGGGGGAGGCTCATTTGACATCTTCAGATTTTCCTTTGTGAATTTAAAAACTCTTCTGACATTAAATAGCTGTTTATTCTAAGGCAAATAACATCTCTAAGGTTCATTTTCATAATCTGTAAAAGGAGAACATTTTAACACATGATCTTTAAAGGTCTTCTCAGATCCAAACTGTTATTCTAAATTACAAAAGATTAAGGCAATCAGCCTAAAACGAGATGAGAAAATTCAAGGTAGAGATAGTCTTCTAGGACTCCCTGAAGAAAGAAACCCAAAACACTGAAACAAGTTCTTGGGTTTTAGAAAACAGTTTTTGGATAGCAATCTTCGATAGCTCAGGTATGCTAAGTTCAACTGTTTTTAAAAACTGCCCAATTCCCGTACTACAGCTTCAGCTACACAGACTTACCTCTACCAGCATGTATGCAGAAAGGAAAGTTATTCCGAGGTTATACAAGGTGAGGATACCCCTGAGAGAAAGAGCAGGTCTGTTCTTCATGTATTTGTTACCCAACCATATTGAGAGCAGGTACAAGACAGTAAGAAAAAAGGTGGGTAGGTAAGAGTCCAACATGAACCATCCTCTGACTCGAGAATCTGAAAAGAAGCACATAATACAATGCCAAATAAGAACTGTTGGTTAGTGAAATACAGCCACATGGATTATTTTTACATAACAAATAAACTGAAGCTGGACTCACTGCTGTCAAGTCGGTTCTGACCCCAAATCACCCTCCATCAGCGTTCTGATGCTTTGTCTTTAAGGGAACAGCCTGTACATTGCTGTCCCTCAGAGCCCTGCATGGATTCAAACTATCCTCACTGTTAGCCTGACACACTAGGCCACTAAGGCTCCAATTCACATACCAGATGCCTCAGGGAAAACAAAACATTAACTAAACTGGACTGGAGCTATAGGAGTTCAGAGGAAGACGCAACAGAGTAGGCGAGGGACTGGGATAAAGAAGGTAATTTTAACCAGCAATCAAGGCTTAGTCTGCACACTGACAAGGAAAGAAAGAAATGGTAGGAAGCAGCTGTTCTTGTGTCTGGAACAGTTCCTGTGTTCAATTACTCTAACTCATACACCTAAGATCTCTGTCCATCTCCTGATCTACCCTACCCTGTCTACCATCTGCCTCTTTAAACTGCACTACCCTACAGACAGAGCACCATTTACCAATTCTACAAGGGAATCGTCTTCTGTTGGTGACAGAGATGAAACAAAGCGAAAGCGCTCTTCTCTTCGCTAATGGGACCCACAATTAGCATCTTTCATATAGCCAGCTCGCAATGACCTGCATTTGTCAGCTCTCTAGTGTCCATTTCTAATAAATAACACCTACTTACCCAGTAAGGGTCTCCCTTCTGAAGGCAGCCCTCTCCTACTGCTCAGAGTATCAGCTCCTCCTTTCCAGAGCAAAATAAAAATTATCCTTTTATAGTTTACATATTGTAGCAAAAGCTTACTGCGGACTAATTTTGTGCCAGGAACTGTTCTAAAGCCCTTTTTCATGTGGTAACTTATTTCTAAATCAATCTTATTACACAGGTAATATTATCACCCCCACTTTATATTTGAGAAACACAGGGAGTAACACGTAAATAACTTGTATTAAACTGCCACTCTACCTCCTGTTACTTTGACAATGCCCTGGGATGACTTGTCCCCCTCCCTAGACTATTTGTTGAAGTTCTAACCTCCAATCCCTATACGCATAACCAAGGACTGCGGACACCCAGAAGAAGCTAGGAAACTGGTGTGGATCAGGGCCTTTGTCCTGTGAGACAATGAAATTTCCAGTTTTGAGTCACCTGGTTTAAACACTTTGTGGCCACTCTAGGGAACTCATGCATATTAAGACCCATTTCCAATAGTTCCAGAAATGTTAGGTGTATTTCTTCAAATGTAGTATATGCTGTATGAGACAGAGCTTAGGCCTTACATTTTTCCTGCCTCATTTATAGCTTATATCCATTGAAGACTGAGGTGAGGAGCAACACTTATGAAATACTAATCAGCTGACACACAGACTCAAGAGAAAACTGCAAACAAAACTATGGGGCAAGGATTCTTGGTGGCCTCCCCGCTAAATGCTCTATCACTGAGAATGTTATCTGCCTGCAGCTACCAATTTTCAATTTTCTTGCTACAAGGAAACTTCCACCAAAACATGACTAGCTGAATAAACAAGTGCAATCCTATCCTCAAATGCATATTTGCATAAATCCAGATCTCATGTGGTCTCAATGAGAGCTAAGTTCAGCTTGAGCTTAACTCACAGATACTGCTGTTTCATGTTCTATAATGTAAAGCCATATTCATATTCCCCCATGTATCTTGTGCATTAGAGTTAAAGAGTGATGTCAATCTCTTTCTAGCAACCACAGTTACAGGTCATGGAGCTCCAGTCACGTAGTCCATAGGAAGCACCTCTCTGGTGGTTCTAATGCACCAGCAGTTCCTTGGGAGAAAGATGGGCTACCTCCTTGCCTGTCTGTGATTTACAGCCTCGGCAACGTGCTGGAGGGTCAACTATGAGTTGGTTTTCACTCAATGAGAATGAATGAGACAATTACAAAGTGGAGAAAACATTAAAGTTGATTATTAAAATATAGATATTCTGCTCTGCCTACTTCCTAGGATTATTGGGGAAGATAAAATGAGAGGGAGAAAGTGAAATAATTAAAGCAACAAAAAACCTCATGTGTCCTTAGCATCACTGTATTAAAACTATAAATAAGTCTCTTACTTGAAACAGATTGTATGAGATTGCTTAGACACTGTAATAAGTTAATTGCACCAATCAATGGTAATTAATGCCTAAGAGTGACTGTCCAAAACCCCCAAAGTGATGTGTGGTAAGTGTCAATCAAATAGAACAGATTACGGAGCTTGTGCAGGAACTAGGGGATATTCTAAATGATCCCTAAATCTCTATGTGATTCTACTCAATGATTTTATAAAACGAGAATTCCTCCACCCCACATCCAACAATGCTAAGGCAAGAACCTAAAGGGAAGGCTGGATTTTCCAGTTTTGTGAACCAGCAAGACTAAATGCAAAAGGAGACATGCTGTCCGGAAGTTGACCCTGGAATCCTGGGTGGTAAGGATGATTAACGTTCTCAGCTGCTAACCAAAAGGCTGGAAGTTCAAGGCACCTCTGAAGAAAGACATAGGACTCTATGTTCAAACCACCAGCCCTGGAAATCCTGTTGTATACAGCTCTACTCTCACATACCTGGGACGCCAAGAATAGAAGTCAAATCATCAACTTCTAAAATTTTATTTTGATATCTTCCTAGAATGATGATCAAATGATAAAACAGTCATTGTTCCTGACCTCACAAAAGAAAGAGGTAACAGTGACAATAAACTTTATTAAGAAAATAAGCAGAGGTGAAGATAGAGAGGGACCTCTAGACAGGATGTCTAGGAAAGCCTGGCTTCGATGGTAACATTTCAGGTATTTATTAGCTGAAGTACGAGAAGGAAGTAATTGATGGGACGTGGGACTGGGTAGGAGATACTGGACAGGAATTCCAGGCACTGGGGACAGTATACAAAAGCCTATTTGAGTCTGAGGGAATGAAAGAGCTCTAGAGTAGCTATTCCAAAGCGAGGGAGACAGAATGGCACTCAATGAGTGTCTTTTATCCTAGGGACTGGACAAGCATGGATGAGTTTTAAACTAGTGTGCCACAGAATATGATTTAGTTTTTAGAATGTTATTCTGTTTGATACATAACAAATGATTGGGGGGGGGGGACTAGTTAGGAGGCCTCTTCTGTAGGTGACTGAGGAATGGCCCTGAGCAGAGATGTTTTATAAGCCTGTGATCTTGAGTAAGATAGGGGGGTTGGTAGGTAGTAGCAAGAGAAGAGAGAAAGAAACAGAATAATTTAGAAGGAAAGCTATAACTTGGCTTCAGTAAGACGCACCCAGGGAAAGTACTGTATTTCACCCTGCTTCCTGGTGAACAGAACAATCCCAGGAGAGGCCGAGCAGGAGAACTAAGGCCTTCTATATTGTTCAAGTATATTGAAGGTGAGGAAATTTGAGTTTCTGAATGCTAAGTACCATTTTATTTTCAAGAAATCAGAAATCACACAAGGCTTCTGCCAGAGTTAAATACATTTATTCTTCCTTGCATTCCTTCTACATTATGTTTTCAAGACTCTTACTCACCTCGAGGTCCAAACATGTAGTCCAAAAAAGCATTGATATCATCATCAACAGCCTTTAGTTGCTCCTTGAAAGATAAAGAAAAAAATGACGTGGGTTTATTTTTTTAAACTCTCAAAATAAAACAATGAGCACCTGAGGGACCATAAAAAGGTCTCATTTCAAGGACACTGACCACAGAGACAGCAGGGAAGTGGACCTGGGAGTGTATCCTCAGGCCTCCCTTTAAACAAGCTTGCAAGAAAACAATGACTCTTTCATTTCCTTAGGCAAGAAGGGTTGTGGGAAACAGACTTAAAATTGAAGGGCTATTGACCTTAATTCTATAAACCTCTAAAAAGGCATAAGCCATTCCTTAAGGAACATTTATTATTCCAATTAACAGAAACTCGGTGGAAAATCTTCATCCATAACAACGCAGATATAATGTTTAGCCCTTTCATGACAGAGTCATTTTTTGTCAGATGTATATGATAGGAGGCTTTTTAGTAATAAAGAGCATACTGAATCAGTGAACTGTGTCAAAACTTTGCTAGTCAAGATGAATTCTGATGACTATGAGGTACCATATTCGTTCCACTGGACTGTAAAGGCATGAAACATTGTTCCCTTGTTCTAAGCATTTTGAAAATGTTTGGAAAGAAGGGGCTGCACATAAAGGCACCCTGAGACAGTTAAACAGCATTGTTGTTGGGGGTCTCTTCTCTACGGCACTTTCTAGGTTCCCTGACAAGGAAATGCTTTCCAGTCTACTGAAGCCTTCTTTGTACATCATTTGGCTGGCTTGTTATTCATAAGAAAGGAGGGTCTTATCTTCTTGATTTCCCAGCCCACAGTCAGCTGCTAATAAAGTAAGCCTGAGGGAAAGCTGTTCACATGTGCTACAGTTCCACACTGTGAAATAATTTGCTGCCCCAAAGTCAATAAGGAAATACAATGCTCAGTGCCCCTAATTGAGGCAGTGCCTCCAACTCTCCAGTCAAAGAGGTCCATTCTTCCCACCATCACACTGCATTCTACAGTTTTCCTCAGACACAGGATTACTGAAGGCATCTTTGTTTGGTCTTTTGACACCTGTAACATCTTTTAGGCTGGAGAATGTTGATAAAACGGCCTTGGATTTATTGTCCTATACTTTGTTACTGACACCTAGCCTTTCATACAAAATTTATCTTTGGTCTTCATCATTTCTGGTAGCAACTTTATTTGTTGGCACTGTGCCTCCAGCATTCAGTCTCCCTTTGTTCATGCTTTCCATCAAACAATAGGAAGGAACAAAGCTAGTGAAAGCAGTGAGCCTTGGAGAAGGGCTGCAGGAGTAACACAGTTCAAGGAGAAGTCCAAGGGAGAGAGTTGAGTCTATACTCCCCCGCCCCCAGCAGAAATCAAACTGGCTTGCAAAGTAGTTTTCGAGTCAACCCAGTGTGAAACCTTGTACCTCCACTTGAAGGGCTCCACTGCCATGCATCATTTTACTGATGAAGGGCCCTCAACTGGCACCATGCTTCATCAACGGCCATACTTGCTGGCACACATACCTCTTTGAAGTGGGTCATTATGAAGAGCATTCCTTGATAACTGGGTACAATGTGTGAAGCCAGTCACAGCCAAGTTCTTTTTTGTGCATGGCTTTTGAAAAGTGAAGGGGCGTTAGGGTCACAGTGATCAGGCTGCAGATGGAATCTACCAGCCATGTCATGGGAGAAAGACAAGGCAGCCTGCTTCTGTAAAGGTCACGGCCTTTGAACCGTGGCGAGCTTGAAGGTTTGTTTCTTGGGTTGAATTGTCATTACAGTTGTATGCTCTTGGTCAGTGTTCTGACTCCTGTGCTAGTCATAAATTCTGCAACAGAAGTAGTTACACCCAAGAGGGAGGTTGCTAGGACGATAATGTCTGAGCTCCGGGAAGGTGGCCTAATTGGCAAGGAGTTGCTCTGCCAACCTAATGGTAGACAGTTTGAATCTACCAGTTGCTCTGCAAGAGTAAGATGGGCAATCTCCTCTCATGCAATTTACAGTCTCTGAAAACCCACTAGAGGGTCAGCTGTGATTCAGCTCTGACTCAAATGAAAGCTGGGCACAGTATGGAGTGTCTTTATTTGCTGTACAGTGGAAGTTTTCGCTGGGCCTTCCAATCTCCTGTCTACTGTATCATGTTGTATACTTCTGGGTTTCAAAAAGATTACTTTAATCCTTTATAATTTGTAATATATTTTGCAAACACAGACTTCTGTCCTCTCATGGGGCAAGACAGGGAAAACTGAGTGTACTGCTGAAGTGAGTCATGATATTTTCAAGGTAAAAGGCATCTTTGCACCATTCACCTTTGTTTTCTTTGCTTCCACAATAAATACTGTCACCTCACTCAGCCTTCTCCTCCACAACACGGACTGCTTCATTATCCTCTAACACCAAATCAATGCCACTGTTGTCATGACCAAGACCAGCCCAAGATTCCAAGGTGAGTAATCGTGTGAAAGAAATCCTTATCGCTCAGCTGCTCAGGTTCCTGCTCCTTCTCTGATACAGAAGAGGAATAATTCAGACGGCCTTTGTCCTTCCAAGAGCCCATTTTTTAAAAAAGAAACAATCATAAATGAACGGATTGAGAAATTATGCTACATTCACACAATGGACTACTACGCAGCATGCAGGAGCAAGGATTTTGTAAACTACTACCTAACTTGGGAGGGACTGGAGAGTATTATGCTGAGTGAACTAACTCTGTTCCACAAGGACAAATACTGTATAAGACTATTATTGTAGAACATGTATGAAGATGCAAGGGGAGGAGGGAGCAGAAGGGTGAGGATGGGCAGGGGTAGGGTTAATCATAGGATCACACAATTTGATGGGTGGAGGGAGGAGTGGGTAAAGGAAATGGGAAAGATCCGGTGTGAAAAACAAGGCATTCAAATGTTATAAATAAACAAGTATAAAATAAAGATTTAAATAAAAGACAGAATCTTAAAAAAATTATTCTAGGTTCAGCAAAACGAGGCTAATACCAGTATCACACCTGCATACCAATATGCGAGAACATAAAGGAGAGAAATTGCTCACTTCCCACCTCCTGCACATTAGCAATAAAACCCCATTTGCTCACTTCACCAAACAAGACATTCAGACGGCAAACAAGCACATGAAGAAATGTTCAAAATCCCTAGCTCTAAGAGAAATGCAAATTAAAACAACTATGAGCTATCATCTCAGCCCAGTAAGAAGAGCAAAATTTAACAGAACAGCAAACATCAAATGCTGGAGAGGTTGTGGAGAAACTGGAACCCTTATCTGTTGGTGGGAGTGAAGGCAAGATGGCACTTTTTCTCAAAAAGTTGCAAACAGAAATACCATTTGACCCAGCAATTCCACTACTGGGAATATACCCCAAAGAGACCATAACTGACATCCAAGCAGATGTATGCACACCCACAGCTTTGTTCACAAGAGCAAAGAGTTGGAAACAATCCAAGTGTCCATCAACAAATGAATGGATAGAAGCTGTGGTATATTCACACAATGGAATACTACTCTGTTTTGAAAAACAAAGAACTAATGAAATATTGTACAAAATGGGTGACCCTGGAGGACATTATGGTGAGTGAAATATCTCAGTCACAAAAGGACAAATACTGCATAGTGCCACTGTTGTAAAACAGGACTGACTTTGGGACTGGGGAGAGACTGAGAAAGATGGGTGCAGTAATGTATACTGCATTGAAACAGATGAGGGAGAAAACTGTTTAAAAGGGATATATGATTATGTATTATTGTCATGACAGGACTCCAGATAGAAGGCTGCATAGTGGAGTGAACTTGGGGGGATGGATTGTATAACAATGAAAGACTTTTTACTTTTCAAAGAGAAGCGTGAATTGAAGGGAAGGAGTGGGCTGGGAGAAAAATGCAACAATGAATGAATGGAAATCCAAAGTCTCTGTTAACTTTCATTAAAATAATAATTTTTAAAAAAACCCCATTTGCTGTCATAGGAAAATTGCTACCACAATAAATAAATTTTTATTGCAAAAGAACTACTTAACAGCTTATAAATCTTTAGAAACATCCTTAAACAACTGTAAGACGTGCCTGCATCATGACACATAAATAATACATTAAGCCTAAAAAAAGTGATTGACTTGAAAAGTTAGTGATTTTATCATTAAAGTAACAAATGCCAAGTAACACAGGAAACCAACAAATACTTACTTACAAGGTTTATGCACTGTGCAAACACAAAAACAGATTACCACACAAATTAACACCTCTGGGATACACTGCCAAACAGTGAGATTTGGTGTCTACATTCTTTGGACATCAGCATTTATAGGTGTCTCTGCCAGACGCTAGCTCTGGTGGCGCAGTCCATCAGGTGTTGCACCGCTAACTCAAAGGCTACCTCTCCCTGGTGGTTCAAATTCATGACTGTCTCCAACTGAAGAAGATGAGCAGTCTTCTCCCATGCAGGTTACAGCCTCTAAAAACCCGGCAGAGGGTCAGCTATGAGTTGATGCCCAATAAATGTCAATAAGAGGGGCACAAGAAACCAAAGAGGGGGATAAATGCAACTAGGACTTAAATACAACAAGGCAAGTCTATACTCCTAGAATATAAATGTGATTTTTAGATGATAATTCACTTACATTGTCGTTTACAAAGTGCAGTTTAAAGCTTTAAAGAAGATTTCAAGTAAAGAAACTGAACACTACAGCTGTTTTTCCATTATCTTTATTGTTTCCCTCTCAAAACATTTTTTTAAAAAAACAAAATTTTTATTTTATTCTGGTTTACTTACAACGTTTGTATACATTGTTTTTCACACTCGATCTTTCCCATTTCCTTTATCCACTCATCCCTCCACCCATCAAATTGTGCAACCCTATCATTAATCCTAAAACATTTCTTACACATCAACAAGGATTTATTATTACAGCAAATAGTGTCAGCTGGGTGTGCCAGGTTAATTCTTGTCATTTTAATTCCATTTTCCTGGAAATGTAAATTTCTGTTGCCCCAACCCAATCCCAACTGAAGACCATCTCATGGATTCTGACTCCTGGAACTGCCCCACTGGGAAAGGGGGCCCTGGTGACCTAACGGTAAAAAGTTGTGCTGCAATCTCAAGGCTTGTGGTTTGAATCCACCAGCTGCTTGGTAGGACAACGATGGGCAATCTCTTCCCAGGTGATTAAACTGCCTCTGAAAATCCACCAGAGAGTCAGCTATGAGTCACTTCTGACCTGCTGGCACACACCACCACCACCATTTCTAGGGAAGCAGACTGCCTCACCTTTCTCCTATATAGCTGCTGGTGGGTTTGAACTGCTGACCTTTTGGTTCAAAGCTGAATGCCTTACCCACAGTGACAAATTTAGTATTTCTAGCCATTGCATTAGCAACTTTCTTTTCATTATTTCATAAAGTCTCTATAATGTCTCAGAGCTGAACCAAGGGTGGTATTTTAAACAGTGTTTTTAGCTTTGGTTTCCATGCAGGACATCTCAGGAATTACCTAACACCTCAGAGCAACAGCACCTGTGTTGTCGGAGCAAAGCATGTTAGCGACTGCTGATAGACTCATTATCATCACCAATGAGATATCTCTTCCATGGCCACATCCACTAACAAATGTCCAAACTTGTAAAAGGTGTTTGCTAAAGGGTCAAATTCCATTTTGCCACATCTACACAGTTCATAAAACTCTAGTGAAGGTCACAAAGCTTATTGGATTTCTATAATATTGCAAAAAAAAAAAACACACAAAAAAAACCAAACACCACCTCAGTTACAGTGGAGCAAGGTCGTCAACAAAAGAAAAATGAGGAAGCAGAGGATATTGAGGAAGAAGGGAAATATGAAGAGAGTGCTGAAAGCAAAACGCATAAAGCAAAAAATCACCCTATCATTAACTCAATAATTATAATTAAATCAATTCACTAGTCACTTATTAATTCATTGGCAAATTATTTGAGCATTACCTTGTGCCAGCACTGTATCAGACACTGAAATGCAGTCACGTGAGATATGGTCCTAATGTCTAGAGAACACAACCAAACCAGTGGCTGGCCAGTGGATTCTCACTCTCAACAACTGATTCCTCAGAAGTAAGTCTCTAGGACATTCTTCCAAGATGTCTCTAGATGAGCTTGAACTTCCAATCTTTTGGTTAGCAACAGTGAATGTTAACTGTTTGCACCATTCAGGGACTCCAGAGAATAGTAGACAAGCTGTTAAGTGCTGGCAAGTGGAGTAGGACTCATAGTAAAGCAGGAACAACAAAAACAACTATGAGATATCATCTCACCCCAGTAATAGCAGCAAAATATAACAGAACAGCAAGCAACAAATGCTGGCGAGGATGTGGAGAAACTGGAATTCTTATTCACTGTTGGTGGGAATGTAAGATGGTGCAACCATTGTGGAAGGCGGTGTGGCGCTTTCTCAAAAAATTGCAAATAGAGATACCATTTGACCCAGCAATCCCATTACTGGGAATATACCCCAG